ACATAACATTGTTTTAAATTACGTAAAACATTAAACAACCACCCAAGTTTTCCTATAAATCCTTTATATATAAGGTAAATATTGAGCAATGGGGTGGGAGTGGGGCTGAAACGCACTTTCTAAGAATCCTATTAGTGCTTCCCCCCCCCCCAAAGGCTCACAACCCCACATTTTTTTCACGTCCCTGAACTATATTAATATTCTATTGATCCACACCGCACATTTATTCCATCCACCTGCCATATATCCACACCACAGATTTATTCCATCCACCTGCCATATATCCACACCGCAGATTTATTCCATCCACCTGCCATATATCCACACCGCAGATTTATTCCATCCACCTGCCATATATCCACACCGCAGATTTATTCCATCCACCTGCCAGATTTATTCCATCCACCTGCCATATTTTTTTTTAAAAAGAATCTCCTCTTGCGCCGCAGTTATCGGAAATTTGATTTCGTGAAATCAGCGTCATCATATTCCCTTCATACTCCCCTTGGAAAACAGGAAAAACTGATTTTGTGGGGCTTTGGATGGGGCTGGAAATTTGGTAGAACGTGTTGTCATCGGCAACGAGTCTATGGGCCAAGTTTCAGCTCGATCGGTTGATGAAAAGTAAGTCAATTAGCCGTCCGAAGATTTTGCCCTTAACAAACAAAATCTAAATTAATATAAAGGATTTAATAACAAAACCAAAAAAGATTTAGTTCGCGTGTTGGCATCAAGAACCTATCTGAGCACAACTTCTCGTTCTGGCGCACTTCCGTTGGTGATAACCGTATCATCTCAAAGTCAAACTGGTCAAAGCTTTATCTATTATCTGACACGCGTTTCTAATGGCCGGCCCGGCCCCACGCGGTGCGGGTGTTCAATGCATGCGGACCATTGCAAGGACCATGCATTCTCTGCAGCAAGTAAATAAACACCGTCCGAGCTTATCGTGCGGCCAGTGCCGCCCGGGGCGCCCTAGATTTGTGCGGTTGGCCAAAAATATCGCCCATCAAAACATAGTAACCGTTTCGCCCAGGTCGTACCAACCCCTACCCATAATCCTACGTCTGCGTGCAGGGTTTGGGAACCGCCGATGTATGGACCATCACCCTGTTACCGCCGTTTGATCGTAGCCCGACCAAATCAAACAACTGCTTACTAAGACAGCCTCTTCTTTCATGTTCAATTTTGACAATGTTAAATATTTGAAACAGTCCTTAAACATCAAATCATTAACGTAATTATTTACAGTTAAAATACAGGCAGACTGGAAGCTTGAAAAAATAATGTAGCATACATACCATGCTGCAATATGAAGTTAAATGTAATTAGATTTGGCCCCTGATAATAATGCTACTTTATAAAATGTAATCTTGATACACAATGTGTACAGTTGAAATGAATTTCTCAAGCCCAATCAACATTATAAGGGATATAACTTAAAAGTAGTGTAGCTGTTATCGGAGTTATCTGAGTTATCGGTCTTGAAAAATGGGAGCTTATTAAACCTCACTTCCTCATAATATTTAATTTCTTACGCTGTAATCTCCCTTACTATAAAATCGTACGGCTCTCTTTACAAAGAGAAAATCCTTTGATTAAAGTTCATAAAAATAACATTATACCCGAGACTAGGTCTGGAGAGGAAGAGGAGTTGAGTTGGGGGGTGGGGGTGGACCCTCAGTGGCATATTCGGTCCGTTTCACTTACATAGGCGTATTTTCGCGCATATTAAGAGAGGCAAATCAAGATCTGCCTCTGAAGTCACAAACTAGCTACTTCACTGTAAATTATAATAAAAATATTATAATTTACAGTGAAGTAAAAATAGTCAAAAGGTTTAGAACCAATGGCTTAGATGCCCCAATGGCACCCCCAAGACAAAAACCGGGTAGCCAAAGAAAAAACAATTTTCACAAACATATGTGCAGGGACGTGCTAAGACTGGGGGAGTATGTGGTCGCCCCTACGCCAGCATCTGTATATACTTTTTTCCCTAAAAAAAACTAAAATTTTTATTTAATACGAAAAGCGTTCGAATTGTTTAAAACAAATTACTTACCTCATTTGAGATTACTGCATTTGGTATGGCGTCCTGTACGGCGTCCTGTTTGATGCCAACACTGCCAGCAGGATCTAGCATACCTCTGCAATGTAACTTGATGCAGCCATGACACATGTCCAAGGTCTGGAGTCCTGTTTGATGCCAACACTGCCAGCAGGATCTAGCATACCTCTGCAATGTAACTTGATGCAGCCATGACACATGTCCAAGGTCTGGAGTCCTGTTTGTTCTAACACTGCCAGCAGGATCTAGCATACCTCTGCAATGTAACTTGATGCAGCCATGACACATGTCCAAGGTCTGGAGTCCTGTTTGTTCTAACACTGCCAGCAGGATCTTGCAGACCTCTGCAATGTAACTTGATGCAGCCATGACACATGTCCAAGGTCTGGAGTCCTGTTTGATGCCAACACTGCCAGCAGGATCTAGCAGACGTCTGCAATGTAACTTGATGCAGCCATGACACATGTCCAAGGTCTGGAGTCCTGTTTGATGCCAACACTGCCAGCAGGATCTAGCAGACCTCTGCAATGTAACTTGATGCAGCCATGACACATGTCCAAGGTCTGGAGTCCTGTTTGATGCCAACACTGCCAGCAGGATCTAGCAGACCACTGCAATGTAACTTGATGCAGCCATGACACATGTCCAAGGTCTCGTCTATTTCTTCGCCAAAAAAAACAAAAAACAAAAACAGAAGGATTTGCATCAGCAAAGACCACTGCAAATGAAATAGCCAAAGAAAAGAACATTAAGCCAATGTTTAGATGACTATAGAGGCGGTTTGAATTGAAGCTAGAGTCATAACACAAAAACGCCTGAAGACTCTTTCAGGATGCTGGAGTATTTCTATATACACTCTGCTCCATAACCACAGTGCTTATGTCGAGTATGAGAGTTCACTAGTAATATTTGTTGCGCATACGATAAAGGTGTTTCATTTATTCGCGGTGTAGTTTTTGAGAGAGTAATTAATTAGTTAATGAACGCTCTTCCCGCCATTTACTTGGCGACGCAAAGATGGGGTCATGATGACGTATTGTCTAGACTGTCTTTGACGTACGTGTTAAGTCGCCAGCAGCCGTCGAAGGAGCTTTGTAGGAGATGGTTGTGTATTATTATCTTTGAGAGCGAGCTGCGCTATACATGTGTTTGATGAAAAGTACTCTGTCTTGCGGATGTTGTTACAGATTAAAGTTACATTAATTCTGGGAAAGGACTTGGTGTTTCATCCGGTGTTGTTACGGCGCTGTACTAAGTGTACACAAATCTGATGAATTAAACTGTTGATATCTGATAGGAGACCCGCCTGGTTGAAAGATGATCTCGTAAACACAGACTGTCAAAAAACCGATCTATAACTCAGTGTGGACCGCACTATCACAAACACTAAAGCTATCACTATCACTAACACACACATGAACTCTCGTTCCCCTGCGTTATGTTCACACACTGGTTTATTATGCTTCTCCCGTCATCCAATGACCATTTAGCCACAATAATACAACTCATGAATACAACTCATAACACAACTCAAGGAACAAAAAGCGGTTGCCTTAACACCAGTGATTCTCGAACAGTGGGGTAGAAGAAAAAAAGTGTGGGGAGGGGGGCGGTCCGCCCCAGGTGGCGCATTTTTCCTTATATTATGGGGCGGCTTTTTCGCCAAGTGCAGAGTTTGTTCGTGGAATGGGGTGGCAAAAAGATAGGCACTAGCCTTAGCTACACCACTGCGTAGAGTAGGGAATAATTTATATACATGTATTTTTAAAAAAAAATCATTGGTAAAATGGGGTAGGGGGGCATTACTACTCAACCACATGTCCTACTATTAGAAAGGTCAGCATATTAACAGACGCGACTACAGAAGACACGAAAACAAGGACGCCTGTTGGTATCTCTGAGACTGAGCTTGAGAGGCACATCCTTACTACACACGACATCTCGGACAGCAGGTTCTATTTTTTTTTAAGGCACAATCCATTAATGACGTCATTAAAAATGAGAAAAAACCAAAGCACTGTCAGTAAGCATATACAAAAATGTCCTTGGATTAAGAGGCATACGGATAACAAATTACCGGGCCAATGAGATAAGTTTGAGAAACGATTTAGCTAGTTTTCATGAAGAAGTGTGACAAGAAATTATTAAACAGTATGTGTGACAGTATTAAACAGAAACTCGTCCCTCTCCCCCATAGACAGCGACGAGGCCATGACAGGCAATTCAGGCTCATACCAGCAAGAAGCCAGTACAGGAGCTGCTCATTCCTGCCCAAGACAATCAGGGACTGGAACAATCTTTCAAAAGGAACGGTTGAGGCGACTTCACTAGACACACATTTTTGTGTCTATTGCCTCAAGCCTTCAAACCCCTGGTGCATGATTCCCTCACAAAGTGGCACTGGAAATGAGTGAAATTTCCTCATCAACACCAGGAACAGAAACATTGCAAATCCCATCTACATGCATAGGAGGAGCCAAAATGATCAATAAATTGATCGTGGGCCCTTAAGATATAGAAGAAGAAGAAGAAATGCAGGCCAATCACAAATGATCAAATCCGACAAATCTATTTAAACGCAAACCTATAAATAATCTATAAATATAAGAAATATAGTACCGGTGAAACCTGAATAAAAGACAAATGTAAATCATTTTTATGGTATCAATTAAAACAAAGTATTTAGATATTGAACTATTTCTAAAAATTTTTTTAAAGTCGTCTCCGCTAATTATTATTATACTATTTCATGTTAATTGTTTACTTTTATCCCTTGTGTATGCTACAAAATCACGGGTTAACACTTCGCACTCGGGTACCAGAAGTGAGAGGTTAGGATTAAAAAACTATCTCCAACACAAATTCACATTTTTTTATTCCAATGATAGCTCCCTAATCAGACGACCCTTTCTGCGCATGCGCTCATTTAGGTCGCTATCACTTGCTAAGTTGAGCGTCGAAAATGGCGGACTCCTTGAGGCGGTTAGTAAATATCGGCTCATTTTCAGTACTCCAGGAAAAGTTAGAAAAATGGCTGAGCGATTATTATGTGAGTAAAAATTTATTTTTATGTTTATTTGCAATTAATTGAATTCGGAATTGCTTTTGTTTTGTGTTTATATTTTTTAATTAAAATGTAATCCGTTGCTATGGTCTTGTGAGCACAAATTCAAATTTTGACCACTTGGACGCGCAATCACTTGCTTATCTTATTTTATTACCTTATTTTTTGTTAATTTATTGTTTTTTCATTTACAATTTTGATTCTTAGCTGGGTAAGCCCTTAGTTAATATTGTATTATTCTATTTGATTAAGTTTTTTTTTTTTTTAAAGATTGGATATTCTGTTGCCAAACTTTTAGTTTTTTATTTTTTTTTTTTTTTTTTTTTTTTTTTTTTTTATTTTTTTTTTATTTACAATTTTGTTTTTTTGTTTGGTTAGCCCTTAGTTAATATTGTATTTTTCTATTTGATTAAGTTTTTTTTTTTTTTAAAGATTGGATATTCTGCTGCCAAACTTTGAGTTTGAGTGCCGCCGAAAACGCGACTCGCTCAGACTAGCACTAGCAGCAGGATTAGCATTAGTAGTGTTGTAACCGCTAAAAAAAAAAAGTAGGCCTACTTCGTATCGACTCGGCCTTGTGTTTGTTTATGTTCTATTACAAATCTTGATAACAGCCAGAAACATAATTTAATTATGTCATGTTACTAACATTATTTTACATAAATATATTAAAATAATATTATTTTATATAATTAATTATAATAATTATTAATAATAATAATTATAATACTAGTACTAGGTCTAGGAACTATAGTATAGCCTACTGACTTAGACAATTAGATAAATAAAATTATATAATATTAACATAATTAAGTTTATAAGTATCAGCAGTACAATTAAAACTAATAATACTGTTAATAATACTATAATTATAATGTATTAATTATAAATGTTATTTACAGTAGGCCCATATATGTATATTATGTATAGATTTAATTTGTTTATTTTATTTTTTTTTAAATTAGGCTAATCTCATTTATAGAAATTTAAAGTGTTAATTTTGGCTAATATGAATCAAAAGTTTTAAAATATATACATATATTCACATTTTTTTCGGAACAATTTTACTAGAACTAGACAAAGCAAATTTAAATTAAAATCTATATTTTTAAAAAGTTTGAAGTCAAAGACTGCTTCAAAATTATTTTATTTAATTAATGAATAAATTTAAATAACCATATTAGTAAGTAATTAGGCCGGCAATGTGATGACAGTAGTCCATTTTTTAAAAAGAGTTGGCATAAAAAATTTTTTTAAATACCAGAATATGAATGTAGACTGTAGACAAAAGTCACACATTATTTAAAAATATTTAATAGAATGAAACAATTCTTGTATCTGAATTTATTGAGGCCTTGTATCAATATTTAAAGGCAGTGTCTACACGTCCGGCAAGTGGACAAATAGTGCGTGAGATATTCATCCGGCTTGCATGTCTTGCTTTATTTAACTTGTCAAACTTTAACCATTTTGTTCTTTATATATACCAGCAATGGGTCTAGTATTTCTTTTGCTGAATTGAACATATTTCTTTTTCAAGTAAATGTTCAGACTATCTTGAATTTGTTGAAATGAAGTACCTTAAAATCTGATAGACTATTAGCGCTCACATGGCAAGGCTGACAGACAAATATCTCACGCAACTTTGTTAGGATGGTCATGGACGTGGTCAAATATAAATTAGTCAGATGAACATCTCAAGACCTTAATCGTCCGGACACCGGATATGTAGATACTTCGATATTTAAAAGAATCGATCCTAATTTGAATGGTGTTATTTTAATAAAAGGATATTTTCTCTACTTTATGAACTCATTTTTCTAGGGGGATTTTATTTTCCCCATTTAAGTTTTTATTTAAGGCTTAGTAATGAGACATAAAACATGTGATTGAGTATTAAACCATTATATACTTGTTTTATTCCAAATTGAACATTTTAATTACAAGATAAAACCCATTTATTGTCATTTTTTTTTATAAAACTAAATCATTTTTTTTAAATCAAACACCCAATCAGCATAAAAATACAGTAGGACTGAGTATGAGAGATTTTTTTTTAATGAATATATATATATAATAATGCAACATTACCTAAGCTCAAGAATGAAAAAAAAATTCTATGTCACTCAAGCTAATCTAATTAAAATGATCATTCAAATATTATGTGAGTAATTTGAATTTTATGTTAGCAATAATATGTAGATTTTTCACTTCTAAAAACTGTTAAGAAAATGAATTGTTCTATCAAATGACTCAATTGCTTCTTTTTTATTTTAATGGGTCTTTAATTAAAACTGTTGATAGAGTTTCCCATCTGTTCAATTGGTTTTATCTTTGGGATTTCACTCTGGAAATTGGCAAGTCTGCTATTGCACAGTTTTCTCAAACTTAACACATCTTTCTAAAGTGGACATTATGACTAGATTTTGTCAATATGTCAATGTATTTCAAACGTGAACAACTTTCTTTCAATTTTAGATGATGCAATTTGAATGGCTAAATGAATAGAAAATATTTTTTTCAATATTTTCCTAGTAAATCTCAATGTTTAATTCATTAGAAATAGTTTGATTTGCCTATATTTAATTTTATACTCTCTTTAGAATGCTTCTTTACTTCCATTACTAGAATCTACATGTTCCTACAAGGATGAGTAATATATTCCCACTAATTGTTTAATTAATTATTTTTCAAGTGATAACAACCCGAAGCTCATGAGCATAGCGGTTAAAATAAAGAGTGTAGAATATAAATAAAATGTGTGCAACTGTACGTTAAACAATATACTTTTCTGCTTTCATTTCTCATTTTTGTGTCTTTGTACTGATCGGTTTGCAACAATAAGTCATGAAGTCATGATTGATCTGTGAAAAGACAGACAATTTATGACTGCTTTAATATGTGCGAGTCTGTCTTCTCATAAATCTGACATTGATTCTAAAGATAGTTTTGCTCAAATTCTTATTTCAATGTCTATCAAAATTTATCCAATAAACAAATCATTGGTTAGGTACCAGCAGTTATTAGTGTAATATTATGAAGGTAGCTATTTTGAAATGCAGAGGTATGTAGTTTGGTGATATTTAAAAGATTCAACTTATTATTGTGTTTGGGATCCATAAAAGTACATTAAACTTTGATTCAGCATTTTCAATTTATTGGAACAACTCCAGAAAGTTACCTACATTAAGAGTCAAGCTCTAAAACTGCTGAATAGGGGTAACGGATCTGTCAGTGACTGTCACTCCCTTTGTCTAGTATCGATTTTTTCAGGAAAAGAAACCTGACCGTTAGCTTATCTGGATTTGCATTGATTGTAGTATTTTTATGCTTTTTTACAGCCTAGAACAGCCAGCGTAGTTAGTCCGATCTTTATATTAATACGATTTTAATATAGGAGATAAATGTATTTGTTCTCTAAATACACAATTAGTTTGTCTAGTGACTAGTGTGGAAATCACGGTGTTAAAATTAGAGTTTAGTATGAAAATATTTTATTACAAGATTGAGTGAGGCAGTGAGGACTTCTGACGGGAATTTTTCGTCATTCTTTAGGGTCCACCATTATTTGAGCTACTGTTTCCAGCTTTATTGAAGGAACCTTTGACCCTTTAATCCTAAATGACGCTCTATTCTTAAGTGGATAAACAAATAATGCAGGGGTCATGACCCCAATTCGATCGTTCTAAGAGTTTCTTTAGAGTTGAATGAGAATGAGTCATGCCATGGTGGAAAAGTATTACTTTCATCTACAGTTTTTTTAAGGGGGTTTCTAAATCATTCTTTTTATTGATTCTATTTACCTTCTCGATAAGAATGATAAGTTCTTGGGCAATATTTAGCGGGCTTTGGCATTCTTCGGTGGGCATTCTTTTACAAAATGAATAATTGATATCTCCCCCACGTTAACGGTAGTCTACGTCACTCAAAGTGGAACTCGTTGGATTATCTGCCCCTTAGCCTTTAAACATTTCATTTTCACAAAAGCTCGCATTGAAAGCCGGGGCATAGCTGTTGCATGACGGAGCGGGTCAACAATATGGTGGAGTGTGAGATCAATAGAAAGTACGTTACGGGGCCGTCAGTACGAATTTTTATCACGTTTCAGAATGCAAGGGTAATTGTCTGCTATAGAATTTCGTGCTATATAAAAACAAAAAATCGGATTATTTTTTTGTTGTTGTAAAAACGTGAATATTGTCCCCCTTTAAACAAAAATTCAGAATAAGGAATGTTTAAAAACAATATTTTAATATTATTAATCAAATTGGTTCCTTTAACTGCAAATTGTGATTTAGGGTTTCTGATCCATCAGACAGAATATAGGCTGACATGAAATTCCCCCCCCCCCCCGCCTTATTTATCCTTTACTTTTGACTACAACGAGTCTTACGCTTTTGGGGAGCTTGTCTATGGCAGTCCATGCGCTACAACTAGTGTTCATTATTCTTAAAACCTCGTGGATAATACGATCTGATGGGTTGGTTCACCTGAGGGTAAATGATTCTGGCCGCTACTTGCGGCTGACACTGAGGCGTATTGCCATGTGGACTTGTGGTAATCAAGTGAACAACTTAACTACCAAGTTCCAAGAAAATATTACTTGCAGCTTTAAAAAAAAATAATAATTGGGGCGTCCATAATTTACGCTAAGATAACCTGGAGAGATGGCAGGAGAGTTTGACAATTCTTGACGTGGGGTTGGGGGGGGTGGTTGTTAATGGTTTCAAGCCTAATACAATTGATTAATTGATGCCAATAGTGTTAGTGTTCTGTAGATCGTTGTCATTTACAGATAATGAATTGTTTAAAGATGTTGCAGTTTCATGGGTTTAACCAACTAGTCCTATAAAAGTAGGCTTTTAATGGCGGTCTTTTATAATGAAACATATCAGCATTATAAGATGAGTTAGATGTGCGTGGGTCTGTGTGCACTACGGACAGCTGGTCAGGATGCTAGCACACTTTGTTAGTGGATGAGAAGTCAGATGGTGGGCTACGGACAGCTGGTCAGGATGCTAGCACACTTTGTTAGTGAATGAGAAGTCAGATGGTGGGCTCTCTCCACCTGTAGATTTTGTCTGTCGTATCTGAAATGGGGGAGGGGGGGGGCGGTGTGTTGCCGTCAAGTTTAAGATCTGGACCAAGGACATGCGTCGATTAAAGTGGGCAGTCGGGATAAATTAGGTCAATAGACCAAAGATACGAAATTAGGTAAATAGAGCGAAGATAGCCTGGGAATTAGGGGCACGTGAAATGGGTGCCATCGTAAAGTGGGTGGCATCGTAAAAAAAAAGGCTGACGAAAAAGGGAGTGGGTGGGTACAAAACGCTTAATAATTGTAGACGGTTGACCAAACTTTTTGCACACATCCGTGCATTAGAGTAGCGATTCTAAAATGCGTTTACCTTCAAATAACGCAACCTATGTAGGCTATTTTGGTTTTCAATATATAAAAATTACTCAAAATATCCTGATTCATGTTTGGGGGCCTTACCTTTGTAGCACCCTGATTCAGGTTTGGGGGCCTTACCTTTGTAGCACCCTGATTCGTGTGTGGGGGCCTTACCTTTTTAGCACCCTGATTCATGTGTGGGGGCCTTACCTTTGTAGCACCCTGATTCATGTGTGGGGGCCTTACCTTTGTAGCACCCTGATTCATGTGTGGGGGCCTTACCTTTGTAGCACCCTGATTCAGGTTTGGGGGCCTTACCTTTGTAGCACCCTGATTCAGGTTTGGGGGCCTTACCTTTGTAGCTGATCTAACTTCATTGTTGACGGGCATTACGATGTGTTGCATTTCTTATCGTCAGGAATGTTTCATACAGATGTGCAAGGTTTAATAAGTTTAAATTAAATTCTTCAACTGAGTTTTTTAAAAAGTCGCTATCGCCCAACGCCACTATGTAACGTTAGGCCACTAAAGGGGTTTAAAAAATCAAGGCACTTGAGAGATCGTATATTTAATCTATCTTCCAAAGAAAAATCAGAAATGGGCCCGAGGCCATTCACCAGGACGTATCCGCATATTTTACAGGTGAATACCGAGAGCTGTTGGAGGACAACAAACCAGCACTCGACCGGTGAAAACATATCCACGTCACGGGGGGGGGGGGGGGGGGGGGGATTAATGGCTCTATAATAAAGTAGCCGTGTCCAGACCTGGCGTGTTAAGCCGTGGCCCCCTACCCCCACAAGCGCACGCTTAAAATCCGATCCTTTGAATATTATCAGAGGAAGAGTTGGGAAAGGGGGGGGGGGCGCTTTCTTCGCTATATCCCTTGCAACTTAGTAACGTAGAGGTCGTAGGGAGAATGCATTGTTTTAATTAACCAGATCAATTACACTGGAAGCATGATTAACTTATTTTTTTTTATTGCAACAGGAGGTGCGCCCCCCCCCCCACCCACAAAAAATACTAATTTGTTAATATATAAATAATTTTTTTTTAAAAAAGGTTATGCGAAAAAAAAAAATAATAAAGTTGTTCGTATAAAGCCTTTAAATGGCTACAGTGGCTACAATGGCTACAGTTCTTAAGAAATGATATTTTCTTTATCTCCCCCTTGAAAATCAAGAATAACTGATTGTTTTGGGTGATGCTGAGAATGTGTTTTCATCGGCAAGGAGTCAAGGTTCAGCTCGGTAGGATGGCGGGGAGTGGGTCAATTAGCCTTCCGAAGATTTTGCCACAAAGAAACACGAGCTAAAGCGAAGTTAATATAAAGGATTTCAAAAGCCAACCACGCCGTGCAAAAATGTGCTCATATTTTCCACCCAGACCTGCCAGCCATTTGTACCGTGACTAGAGACACTAGGGAAAAGTCGTCACGGCCTGTGTCCGCATTCCTCGGGGCGCGACACAAGCGACACAATCAATCTGGGTCCACGACAGCGTTGAGCGCCGCCTACTGTGAAGTATTTGGCCGGTGACAGCGCAATACGTTAATGCCGTATCGATTCCTTTACTGCTCAACCTGGGCGCGCGCAGACAGCGCATCGTTGTTCAAATGTATTATGTATTGAACACAGATCAGGCACGCATAGTCTTAGCTCCTCACACACGGTGCTGTGTCGAACCTAAATCAGGCACGCATAGTCTTAGCTCCTCACATACGGTGCTGTGTCGAACCTAAATCAGGCACGCATAGTCTTAGCTCCTCACACACGGTGCTGTATCGAACCTAAATCAGATACGCATAGTCTCAGTTCTTCCCATACTGTGTAATTTATTGGGCTTATTTCAATCTTTCTCCTTCTGTAGGTTCAATGTCAGGCTTATCCCTATACCGTCGACATGACTCCCGTCATGTGTTGGGGGGTTGCTAGACATAGTAGCGACTGGGGCGTATTTTGACTTTGCCGCCAATAATTGTCGAAATCCATAATTCAAACTCACACAAATTACCCATAAAATTGATTACCAAGAAAATTTATGAAGTCGACCTAAGAAGTGTCACTCTTGAGGGGGGGGTGGCGGTGCAGCACCACCATCCACAACCTCTTCCAAAGCCATTGCATCCATGTATTAGGTGTCTTCCTTGGCAGCTCTTTCTCTCCAGTGGCACACAGTGCGTTCCTCTTTCTCTCCAGTGGCACACAGTGCGCTCCTCTTTCTCCCCGGAGGCACGTGACGTGGTGCTTTCCTCTTTCTCCCCGGAGTCACGTGACGTGGTGCTTTCATCTTTCTCCCCGGAGTCACGTGACGTGGTGCTTTCCTCTTTCTGGCAGCATCCTATGCTTAGCGGTTTTCCCCTAAACCAATAACTGCACGTGTATTCAACTGTTCCCTTGGTAGTCCCTTGATAGTCCGTTGGTAGTCCCTTGGTAGTCCCTTGATAGTCGCTTGATAGTCCCTTGGTAGTCCCTTGATAGTCCCTTGATAGTCCCTTGGTAGTCCCTTGATAGTCCGTTGGTAGTCCCTTGATAGTCCCTTGGTAGTCCCTTGGTAGTCCCTTGATAGTCCCTTGAGATTGCTGCCAAGTTGTGGGCATTTCTCCACCTCTTCCAGAATCTTGTCACTGACTGAAATGTTCACTGGGGCGTGACATTGGACACTCATCGTTGTAGCTGATACTGAAATGTTCACTGGGGCGTGACATTGGACACTCATCGTTGTAGCTGATACTGAAATGTTCACTGGGGCGTGACATTGGACACTCATCGTAGATTTGTTTTGGTGGTGTTGCTGCTCATCCCCAATTAACCTTTTTTCCTGTTCTAAGCTGGTGGTGTTGCTGCTCATCCCCAATTAACCTTATTCCTGTTCTAAGCTGGTGGTGTTGCTGCTCATCACCAATTAACCTTATTTCCTGTTCTAAGCTGGTGGTGATTCGTTTTGCAGACGAACTTGGCGTCTGGCGTTCCTTGAACCTGAAATATAATCAATTAAATTTGAGGCCCAGCAGGCCAAACAAAAATATAGTGAAATTGCTGGAATGAAAATTAAGCAGATAATATTTTTTTAGGTCACTAGTATGCGTGCAATGGCATTTAAAATGTTAATCTTTTATTGTCCAGATCAACACATGTGACCAGAACACAGCAAGATGTTGTGAAGTGATTGAGCTCAATGCCAAGGTTCAAGGTCAGCTGTTTAAACTGCTCAGCCTTTGTGCTCAGGAAGGTAAGGACAAGCTTACAGGAGAATCTTTCTCAATCTGTTCCTTCACAATCTCTTCCTTCACAATCTATTCCTTCACAATCTGTTCTTTTGTAAGATTTTAGCGCCAGGCTAATAATATTTTTTAATAATTTTAATTTATATCCACCAACAGGTGGCATGTATGGCGGTGCTAACATTATCAAGTCTCGACTGCTGCCTTGGCTCGGGCAGAACTTTTTCACATCGGGTGGAGCTGTCACTGCTGACACAAGTCTCAGCGTCCTGGCTGAGGCTGCGGCAAAGGACAGAGAGTTGTCAGAGCTCCAGGAGATGTATGAGAAGTCACTCGATGAGCTGGACATTGAACTACAGAACACACGTACAGAGAATCAAGATCTAAAGGATGAGTGAGTAACAGGGGCTTGGGTAAAACTTTTCAATTGTTGATGAAATTAATTGTTTTTAAAGGTGTAAATTTGATAAGACATAATAATTTTTTTTAAATATTTCTTTTGCGAACAAATATATCAAACTGTAAAATAATCAATAAAACAAAAATTTCTCTCCATTTTGAATGAATTAATTGTTTTGCTTGTTTTTTCAATGCATACCATGTATAAACTTCACCAAAATATTATATTTAGACCATGGGAGCTCAAATGATTTTCAAAAAAACTATTAAAATATAGTTACATAAATTTGATTAACGTCAATGTTTAATTGAAAGCAATAAACAAAACAATTTTATGAGTGTTAATAAATTGTATAAAAAATGTTTGTACCCCTTGAAATTGCCTCAATGTCCTAATCCATTGTGTTGACTGGACAGACTTCAGGAAACAAAACTGGAACTTAACAGAAGTGTCAGAGCATCAAGCAGTGACAAAATGTTTACTGAGCTTGAGGTCAATGAACTGAAACGAAAGTGAGTCCTCCAACCAACTGTCAGAGTCCTCTACTATCAAGTCCTTCAACTGTCAGAGTCCTCTTATTCTTAGTTTTCCATCTTGTCTGGTGTTTTTTGTGTTTCTAGGATTAAAAAAAAGCTTGAAAATTGTCAAAGGAAAAATTACAAATAAAAGAAAGTGAAGATGTAATTGTTTTAAATTTAATATTTGATTCCTATCATCTCCAAATTTTCAAAATTAATTCTATAAAAATTTATCATAAACATAATTTTATTAAGAAGCCTTTTTAAGTGTCCATCTCATAGGATCCAAACATTTCTGAATGAAATTTTCGTCGATGTAATTAAGAATTATTTTTGTAAATTAATTGCCTCTTGAAATAATTTGAATACAGGCTTGCTGCAGCGGAGGAAGAAAATCGTTTACTGCGATCAAAGTCTGGCCTTCTGGCAGAGTATCAAACAGAGATACGCAGGCTTCGAGATGATATCGCTCTACTGTCCGCACGTAGGGAGGTCCTCTCCAAAATACCTGACATTCCACTGCCAAAACTGGAAGACAAACTTAGGTAAATTGTCAACAGTTTGCATTGGAAATAATTTCAATTTAACCATAATACAAAACGTATGGAATTGATAATTTTTATAATTTCACATTTTATCTGACCTCACCATATATATAATATAACTCAAGTTTGAATTGAATGTTTTTTTTATCTAAATAAATTTTCATTAGTCATTTAATTAAAATAAATGAAAGATGGCTTATAAATCTGTATACAAATTCTATTATGAGGTGTTGGTATTCTATTATTTTTCCCTGTACTACAAATGAGCCATTAACTTTTCTTTATTCTTAACTTTTTTTGAATTTTTAAGCCATTTTTTTGTTTGTGTGCTTTAGTTTGGCTAAAAAAAATTTCACATTTTAAAAGTATTTGCTGAAGATAGTACAACTATATTCAATATTGATTTACATTAAAAAATTATACTAGGTCTATCTGTATACAATACTGGACCTATCTATATACTATACTAGACCTATCTGTACACAATGAAACAAGTGCTAGGAAAAAAAAAGAGGATAGAATCACTGCACAATTAATAAAAAAAATAATTGATTAAATGAAAATATATTACATAACTAATAGTGAACTAATAGATAAGGAATAATGATATTGTACATTTAATCTCAACAGTTTGTCAATCATTTAGATGATTTTAAATCCATTAGAAGTGCTCCCAGTACTTCCAGTCCCAGGTTTTCCCCACTGTTTAACCTCAATCTTGTGTAGCTTCTTGCAAGAAACAAAAGATGATCTTTCAGTGCTGCGAGCTGCGAGGGTAACGGTGCAAAGTGCTGATTATGATCGTAAGATTGAAAATCTGCGCAGGGAGATGGGGGACCAATATGGGCTAGAGTGAGTATGGAGGGGGGCGGGGATTTAGAGCACTGAGACTTATCATTTAAAGTAATTTAAAGTAAAGCAACTGATGCTAAGAATAATATTTAATGGAAAACTTGGGACCTCTGTTTGCGTAACTGAGAATTAAACAAATTTTGGCAAAGTTTTCATTTTAAAAAATAATTTAACTTAGAAATTTGAATAAGAATATATTTATTGAAGCTACCATACAATTATTCATAATATTTTTATTTAAAATAGAGAACATTAAGAAATAAATAATTTAATTGTAAATAAGTAGGGTGGGCATTAATTAAGAAAATACAAGTTTATCAGTAAAATGATTAGACATTTTATCTACGACTTACATTTAAATATTGATTTAACCTTACACTTTAAGCAAAATAATCAATAGCAGAAGGCTTTGAGATGCGCTACTAATTGGAAATTATTTTTATCATAATGACATAATATTAGAATCATTAGATTGCTTTAAGTATTTTACTCAAAGATGTTGACAGTTTTCCCTCAAGCTTTTTAGTCAGGCTCTTGGATGTATGAAGATCATTTTTACTATGATATCTGGATGTAATGTAATCAGCAATCTTTTGTCATTTTAGTTACAGTCGGTTTGTTGGTTTTGTCATGTTGAAAACAAGTTGAGTTTTCTGTCCCAATGATTAATCTATAAAAAAAAAGTTTAAAACTAATTAACATATTTTCCCATTCATTGATTGATGCATTATTGAATTAAGTTTTCACCTCTTACACTACTGATCTTTACAGTATCTAAAAGGAAACTTTGAATTAACTTCAGAATACTTCTTCCACTCAATCAAAATACATAATTCTTTATGTAACAGTAACATTGTTATTAACACTACCAGATGACACTGATTTCACTTAGTAAAATTCCTGAGAAGTGCACTAAAAGAAAATTCTTTAAAAAACCACAAGTGTGTTTGATGCTTGGTGGATATTATTTTCTTTTGTTGTACGGAAATATTCTCAATTGAAATATGTTATTAGTTCAGGGGCCATTGGCTTACGGGATGGGGGCTTTGAGTTTTAGCACTAATTAGAAATTGTATAAAGTGCATTGCTTGAATTCTTGTTTTGTCAAGTAACTTAAGTGGATGGGAAGTTCACACATTGAGGTCCCCATTGTTTGGTGGGACACAAGTAACATTAGTGGATTGGAAGTTCACACATTGAGGTCCCCATTGTTTGGCTAGTTTTTAATATTGCAGGATCAGCTTAGATTTAGCCCTTGCTTAGACTTGCTTCATTTCCAAAACTCATTTACTTATTTTTTGTATGATGACTTAATAGACATTTTTTAAAGATTATTTTCTTGCACAGTCATTAAAGTAGTTCAAGTTTAAGCTGAATGAAAAATGATTTTTTTTTTCAACTTACTTTAATTCACAATACCGTTCTATGGTGAAGTAAATTTTTACAATCATAGTTTTGCAGTTATAGTTTTTTTAATGGTAAAAATACGAATATCCCTTGTCGAATCTGTTAATTTAAAAACATTTAAAAAACCAAATTTGAACAATGTCTTAAATTTTTCTTCTTGAAAACAATTGATCTTCTCTCTTTCATTTTTAAGTTCATTTCAATTTCCTTTTATTCTTCTTCTTCTTCTTCTATATCTGAAGGGCCCACGATCAATTTATTTGTCAGATAAGACAATGACATCAATTTATAAATCAGCTGTCACAGATAAGAAAATGACAGCAATTTATATATCAGCTGTCACAATGACATCAATTTATAGACTTGCTGTCACTTTAATAATTTAAATTTTTTTCAAAAACTTCCAGTGATTTGAGCCTGTACTACCGTTATGTCCCTGGACCAACCTCACCCCTGTCTATTGAGGACACAATCCAGCGTATCCGACAGCAGAATCTAGTGGCGCGCTTCAATGACATGTTCTCTCAGGACAGGCTGACCACATTGGACACACTCCGGAGGTATTCGGATGATGCAGAAAACAACCAGCGCATCATCTTTGCTATCATGCAGGTGAGAAGAATGTATTTAAATAATTTCAGCTTTTTCATCAGGAACAATTTTCATTGAACCAACAGAAGGGACAGAAATTGATAATTGACCCCCAAAAAAATAAGGGCATTTTTATGAGTACATAAAACATTCCAAAACATTGCTGAAAAATAATTGTGTGGCTAAATTTAGGAAACTTAAAAATGCCTGTAGAGATGTTAAGAAATTTTATAGTAAACCTACTGATGCAATAACATTACAACCTTTAAATATGAGATGTCTTTTACTCTAACCAAATGACATACTTTAAATATGATGAATCTCTTACACTTTAACCAAAAATATTTATTATTATTATTATAAGTCGTTTTATATAGCGTGGTACCCCAACCTACGGCTGGGCTCACCATGCTGTACATACAATTAAACAAACATAATCAAAAACTTTAAAAAATTAATTAAAATACATTAATTAAATAAAACAAAACAAATGTATATTTAAAACTATTTACACGTCAAGCCATGGACGACAAACAGCAGAATCGTATTTTGGTCAGAGGTTGGAATCAGTCAGGATAGTAGAGTTTAAAAAGATGTGTTTTTACTGCAGTTTGACGGCTGTGATGGTCGATATATTGGGCGTGTGTCATGGAAGAGAATTCCATTGTTTGGGGAACAGAAAGAAATACAGATATTTTTTACTCTTTAACCAAATGACATACTTTGAACATGAGGTATCTCATACTCTTTAACCAAATGGTTTTCATATTTTAAGTTACAGCATCCATATTTCTGAAAAATTCTTAGTGTCACATTTTTAAAGGAAATAGTTGGTGTGCCTTCTCTCCCCCCACCCTCCCCTCACAATTTCATATATATAAATATATATAAAAATATATATAAATATATATATAAACATGCTGATTTAATTATCACCGCCTATAGGAAGCTTTCAGTGTTGCCAAATTGGAGTTCCGTCAGTTCAAGATGAAGACTCGAGCAAACCTGGCCAAGACCCATTACGGGCCAGACACTCTTGAAGAAGCAGTTCAGGATTATATCAACAGAAACACAGACCTCTATGACTTGCCATCTATGGTCTCCGTAAGTAATAAACTAATTATTATTTGAAGTTCAGTACAGTAATGCCTCACTACCTTGAAAGTTGCATTGCCTAAAAAATGTAAAAAATATTATAAATATAACTTTAATTAAAATTTATCAAAAGAAAGAATAATTAATGGAAATAAAATATGTATCAAAAAGAATTATTAAGCTTTAAACTATATATAAATCCCACTTCACATTTTTTTGCATTTCACAAGGGTGGGGGGTGGGGTGTACCGGAATGTAGCAGCACGCTAACTATATTTGTAAGATTAACATAAAATGTTCATCGTAAACCTAAAGGACGGCTCATAATAATGACAGAAATCATTTCTTTTTGGGTTTGTAGGATGTAATCAGAGCTTTGAATCGCAACTGCAAGATTTTCCTGCCACCAGACATCAGCTTTGCCATCTGTCAGCCATTTATTCGCGAAGCTGTGAAACTTGCCTGGCAGATGAGTGCACTGGCTCATCCACTGGACGTTGCCGTGGCCACGGATGCTGAGCTTTTTGATGACACCAAGTAGGTCCTGCCAGACTGTGGTTAAGAATTGTGCCACATCCTTGTTAGTGATCTAGAATCTATCAAGTATTAGTATTATATTTATTGATATATCCATAAGTTGATGCTGTTGAGCCTTTTGTTGGACAAAATGAATGCATGCTAACAGTAACAAAATGAATACACATTAACAGTAACAAAATGAATACACATTTAACAGTAACAAAATGAATACACATTAACAGTAACAAAATGAATGCATGTTAACAGTAACAAAATGAATGCATGTTAACAGTAACAAAATGAATGCACATTAAGAGTAACAAAATGAATGTAACAGTAAGAAAACGAATGCAAATCAATAGTAACAAAATGAATGCGCATTAACAGTAACAAAATGAGAATGTCCAATCTGTCATCAGGTGTATCCAGTGCTGTTTGAAGTAATATCTGATAAAAGTAGACAGATTTTAATGAAAGCACACATTTCCACAATTATTTTTTTCCTACCCCACCCCACCCCCCCCCCCCCCCCCTCAAACTTTATGATTTATAGAAATGTCTTGATATTGAATTAAAAATTTTAGTATTAACCTACATAACTGGCCCATCCTGGTTACCAATACATGTGTAGAAGCCACAGGTGGGTGGTGTCCACATTGGGAAGCCACAGGTGGGTGGTGTCCACAGTGGGAAGCCACAGGTGGGGGATGTCCACAGTGGGAAGCCATTATGAATTTAGTGGTAGATGCCCTTTGTGTGACTTAAAGGGCATGTCTTTATTATTATAAAAAGGCAAAATGGTATGATTCCTTCAACAACTATAGCCATGAGTAGTTTTAAATGTAGAAATAGTTTGATTCCTTCAACATCTATAGCCATCAATAGTTTTACGTATTAAATATTTCTTTGCCATGTGAATAATCAGTTGTTGATTCTCAGTCAAAGCAACATTTTTCCCCAATTTTAGTGGGTTTTTTTTTTTTAGTTTTTCTCATTTCATTAACTTATTTTTTAAAACACTTTAAATCTAATGCAAAATATATATTTAAATGAAAATATTCCATTTCCCAATAATTTATATTTTGACCATCTATATATTTTCATTTAGGTACAGACGCAGTTATGACTCAGAGTACACAGCCCCATTGGTCAACCACCACATCTGGCCGTGTCTTGTTCAAGGTTCTAGGACTTTGGTCAAAGGAGAGGCAGTAACTCGCCGTGGCGCTTCTTTGGTAAGTTTCATTCCAAGAAATCTTAGCTGGGATTTTGACCTTGAGTCTGCTAGGCTGCTTATGTTATATGTCCACAATAAGAGAAATTATTCAACAACTGGACATAAATTGTTAGTATTAAGTTATGGAGATGTGGCAAATGATCAGCTCTTATTGCCATGTATTAGACCAAAGGTGTCCCACTGGCTGCCATTGAACGGCATATACCGCACTGTATCAATTACGGCTTGTAGCAATACGCAATTATTTTTTAAATGTTATTTTTAATTCTAACAGCAAATTGCTTTACTTGAATTTGGAGTCTTCTATCTGAGAATCTGTGTTAAGTCTCTCAATGATGTCATCAATTATTTTTCAATTTATTTGATCATTATAGGTTTGATTTGCTCTGTCATAAAGGTTGCGTTATAATAAGCTTATTTTTTTATTATCAGGGAACACCTCGCAGATCTCGCAGTCCAGCTCGAGCTACAAGTCCATTCCGTTCTCTGTCCCCAAGGGCCGTCTCCGTAAGTCCTAGCAGATTTAGAAGCAGATCCCCAAGCCCCCTTAGGCGAGGAATTTCACCCACCAGACGAACAAGGTTTACATAAAAGGTAAGCAGCAGTTACCTTGATGAAATGGGTTTTTTTATTTTTCTTCTGCTGTTTGTTTCTGGTCATTGCTTAGCTATCATTTATTAGGGGATTTTGAAACAAAAAATGAGATGGATATTACTGTAATTGCTTAGCTATCATTTATTGGGGGATTTTGAAAAAAAAAATGAGATGGATATTACTGGTCATTGCTTAGCTATCATTTATTAGGGGATTTTGAAACAAAAAATGAGATGGATATTACTGAAAAACATTTTATAAAAAAATCTCTCACTCCGTCAGCTTTTTGGTTGTAACATTTATTTGGATGCAGGATTTTCATGTTAAATATTTTATAATGTTAAATGTACTGCTTTATATGTTTGTATGATGTTTCATTTTTATGTTTGTAAGATGTTTAATTTTATGTTCATAGATGTTTTTTAAGTCAATGTTATGTTTGTAATGAGCAAATCTATTTATTTGTTTAGAATTTCTTAAATTTTTTTGTTTAAGTGTCTGTCAATACCTATATTTTTTTTTAATAAAAAAAAAAGCTTTGGTTTAAATAGTACAAAGACAAACAAATCCTTAAAATGTATTGGTTTATTTCAGAAGAGCTCCACATCCTGGACTCGGTGGTAATGTTGTTCCTGTTGATGGAGCTAAATGTCTCAGTTTGATTCATTTGTAAAGCTACAAAACAAAGATTATATTTATCAGTTGGGGAACAATTTATTTAATTTAATGGAATGGACTGAACATATGTAGGCTTAATGTAACTTGTAACTGAAAAGTATTTATCGTTTGTATTTTAGCTAGATAAATTAGTTTTACTTTTTTAACATTTGACTGATGTTGATGTGAAATTATGTCAAGTGAGAAATAAATTTAAATTTTGTTGGCCCAGTTTCCTCTAAAGTACCACTCAAGGCTGTCACAACCCTGACCTTAACACTAACACAACAGATGATGTATAATATTTTCTTCTGGGTAAATTCCTGTGCTAATTTTGAATGGGAATGTATGAATTGCTAGCATGAATACAACATTTTATCAGATTTAGGTCATCTAAGAAAATGGAAGCAGACTGTAGAATGAGTATTTCTATTTCATGGTTTTAAGGTTGTTGCACCATTTCACTATTGTAAAATTATTTTCATTAAAATATTTCATTATTTGTTAATACAAAGAAACATAGAACTCTTTAGTTAAGTATTCATTGAGTATATTTTTAACCAAATTAATTTTTTCAGTACAACGATAAGCCCAATATATGCTTTGTCAATATTCAATCAAGTGAGCACTTAATAAATCTATAAATACATTTTTTAAATGTTTATTTAAATTGATGTGATTGGTTTACCTCAAATATTCATCTTAAATGATTTCTTAATTCTAATTTAATGTAAGTTTTTTAATTTAATTAAATTTTTATAACATTGTAAACTTATTAATTGATTCACTCACTGTGATATAAACAATTTTTTAGCTTTCACTTTTGGAAGCTTCTATTGTGAACAATGTTTGTTTTATTTCTTGTATTTTTTTATGACTACGGATGTAGAAGATACTTATTGAACTTAAACAATACAATTAATTTTTTACTTACACCTTTTTTTTTTTGCCAAAATGTCACCAATCTCAATATCTCAACCAAGAAATAGCAATTGAACATCAAGTTGTCTTAGTCTATCATAGCGTATTGTTTTATGTAATTCACCATCAAAGTAATTGTGTGGGCAGGCATTAAAGAGCTTAACATGCTTGGATGACAAAGGGAGACTTCTTTTGTGTTTGCATTTATCATGCCAACCAACAGCCCATGAACAGCATTAACAAAATAAGACAATTTTTAGGATATAACTATTTTTTATTTTTATTTTTTCCCTGATGAATTTGTTTTTTAAAAAAATCATAATTTTCATGAGACAAAAACAAGTGCTTTTTTTTCCTTTTCTTCAAAAAAAATTGGTTGATATAACTTGCCCCGTTGAAATGAGATTTTTGAACATGTACAGAATTTACTCATAAACATTTAAGTTTAAGATAAACATGACCATCGACTAACTGTATTGGTCTAGTAACCGTATATACAAGTATTAACATATATATATATATATTTATATCAACGTTTAATGATATTAGCTCTCTGAAATCCAACCTGTGATTATACAGTCATCATTCTTTATTATTATTTTTTGTTGTATGCAATTATTTATCATATAAATGACAGCTATCTGTGATATATTAAGATCATGGCAAGGGCCTGGTGATTTCTTGTCATAAAGTATCAAAAGATCATGGCAAGGGCCTGGTGATTTCTTGTCATAGACAAAGTATCAAAAGATCATGGCAAGGGCCTGGTGATTTCTTGTCATAGACAAAGTATCAAAAGATCATGGCAAGGGTCTGGTGATTTCTTGTCATAGACAAAGTATCAAAAGATCATCGCAAGGGCCTGGTGATTTCTTGTCATGGACAAAGTATCACAACGTAAAGGTGACAGAGCTGGATAAACGTCTGAATTAAAATTGAGTTAATTTGCTTTAAAATAAACTAATAATATTCCAATCCATTATTTTTACTGAGTTAAAATTTGTTTAAAAACATCAGCATTTTCTATCCCTTTAGATTTTTAAATTGACAAATATGTCAATTTTTCATCAGAAAAATTATTCATAATATAAGAGTTCCTATGACAACAATGAAACAGCTTAACATGGATTGATACAAAAAATGAAACCTTTATACATTGTTTACCCAACTTTTACAACCCTTGACATGCCCTTGCTGAATCTATGTTTTCCTAAGTCACCCTATTTCAAATTCTAAGAAGTGCACTGTAAAATATTGATTACCAGTAATTGTTTTTTAGATAAAGGGTTGGGTTAACTTAAATAAAAAGTCTCATCTTGTTACCATTATAGCTTCTGTAAACAGTTATTGCTCAGTGAGTTGCTGATTTGATTCCAGTCTGATTAAATTGAAAATAAAATGAAATTTTTGTTAAAAATTTCCTGCATCCTTAATAAGGTATCCTGGGAACCACTGCTCTAAACATTTAAAAGTTGTGGTTCATTTGATTCTGTCAAGTTTTGCTTAAAATTTACAATATTTCTCTTCAATTTTCTTTTTTCTTCCTATCTATAACTTTTAAAGAAAGAAATATTTGTACTTATTTACTCTTGTAGTTAAATATTAATAAATAAATACTTTTGTTTACTTTTCTGTCTCTCTTTCAATAAAATGGATTACTTTTCTTTCAAACTGTGTACATTTTTTTAAATACTTGTTGTTTTGAAAATTGGTCTGTTATTTCTTTATTTATAATATACAGCAATTGACTTTTGCCAAAAACAGAATTATCAACAATTGCTTTAATATATTATTCTACAGCAACTTCAGAAAATAAGGTTGTTGATTTTTAACTTCTAAAAAATTGGCTAAGAAATTAATTTAATTATTGCTATATTATTTTATTAAGGAATCTGTGTTAATATTATTAGAACAATTTTTTTGAATGCTAATTAACAAGGCAGCTTAGCTTAATTTAAAAGAAGAAGTGAAATACTATAAAATATTTGCACCATTATGAGTAATTAAAAACGATTTATTTTCAAATCTTAAATTTAAATTAGTATTAGGCCCATTACCCTAAAAATCCTATTGGTTACAACGATCACACACACACACACACAATCCGTCAGGTACAGTGCCCACTGGGCATCAATCGTATGCTAAATATACCCAAATATGAAGACAGATTTTGTGATCTTAATTTATGCAGCCTATATGTAAAAAAAAAATTAAATTGTGTATTATGTAAACAAGTTACAGGACGAGTAGCCCGTTTGCTTATAACTGTGTGACGTCACTCCCAATAGTCATACCAGTACCATTTTCCCCCATTTTACAACTAGAATTTAAAATAGAAATTTAACCTATTTCCAAAATACATTTCACGTTTTGTTTTCTAAAATTTAAAGATAAAAAAGTTGTGGAAATCTATGAAACAAAACGAAATATTTAAAGAAAAATATAATTATGATAATGTTTTAATAAATATAATATAAATATCTAAATTTTACTCAGATTAAAGGATATATTTCAAAATTCGTCTCAAAATAGTAAACTCTCTACGAGTTCAAAAGGGCCCACTAATATATGAGATGTGGTTTATTTTTGGGTGAGAACTCTCAGACCGCCAGCATGCGGCATTGACGAATGTAGACGTGAAGTTACAACAGGAGATGCTTTGGATTAGGGGTCATTCTTTGGATTAGTGGTATTGCTTTGTATTAGGGGTCATGCTTTGGATTAGGGGTTATGCTTTGGGAATTAAATGTTTTAAAGAGTGTTTGGTGTCCTTAATATAATATGTAGGTCAAGCTGCAAGATCCCACACAATGTGCCTACTCAGGTACTCAGTCGTATCAGTGCAAGCACATGCAAGGAGGCTTTTAAATCTCGTTTTAACAAAATTGAGGTTCAAACAATACTCATCCTTACCTACCGCCCTCACACAAATCATCTTTACCTACCACCTCACACAACTCATCTTTACCTACAACCTCACACAACTCATCTTTACCTACCACCTCACACAACTCATCTTTACTTACCACCTCACACAACTCATCTTTACCTACCACCTCACGCAACTCATCTTTACCTACCATCTCACACAACTCATCCTTACCTACCACCCTCACACAACTCATCCTCACCTACCACCCTCACAGAACTCATCCTTACCTACAGCCCTCACACAACTCATCCTTACCTACAGCCCTCACACAACTCATCCTTACCTACAGCCCTCACACAACTCATCCTTACCTACCCCCCCACCCAACCCATCCCTACCTACCACCCCCACACANCTTCCACTACTTCCTTCACACAGCTACCACCTACATTCTTCTTCCACTACTTCCTTCACACAGCTACCACATACCTTGTTCCACTATTTCCTTCACACAGCTACCACATACCTTGTTCCACTATTTCCTTCACACAACTCATCCTTACCTACAGCCCTCACACAACTCATCCTTACCTACCACCCTTAAAATGTGATTGCCCATAAAGTAACCGTAAAGTGTCGTCATAATTTACTCCCTGACACCAAAAGAGTAATCTAAACACTCCACCTTTTTGTCTTCAGGCGGAATAAAAGAACATATGTGACCTTAATATGTGACCTTCTGGTTCATAGTCACATTCGAGTCTCTCACGCTGTCACTAAACCATGTTCAAGAAGCCGTTATGTAGGACTTGCCTATATGTTCTTGAGACTAAACACATTTTCTCCCTTAATAGGCCTTTACCATCAAAGAAATGCGGCAGATGTGATTATTTTCTGAAGATGCCGAGTCTGTTATATGGGTGATGCTGTAAGAATGCTATCTGATAGGTTCAGTGAACATCGTCTATCTGTTGTTAGAAATGTGCACATATTTTGCCAGTCTGTTGATTGAAATGTACACATATTATCTCAGTCTCTTGATAGAAATGTACCCTTGTTATGTCAGTCTGATGACGATTATGCGTACATGTTGCAGTGTGTTGACAGCTACGTGGGGTACATCGCTGTTTTCGTATAAATAATCTCAGCAGTCTGTACCAATAGATGCGGTGTCTAATTTATAATGAGTTGCAATTTATTGATTTTTTTTTTTTTTTGGTATAAAATAAAAATGTGTTTCCTCTGAGATATTAATAACATTCCCAATATAAATGTATGTTTGGAGAACAAAATCAACCTAGAAAAAAACTCGATTGTTCGTCATGAAGTTCAAAACTCAGTGTACTTCCAAAGCTGTTGTTGACTTTCATTTGTTTGAGAACGTATCCGGAATGAACTGGTTGAGTTTTATCTAAACGGTAGCTAATGTGCCTGTAATTTCAAAGGATCTCAGCTCAAGGATTCTCAAACGTATCGATTGTTTGGGCGAATTATATTAAAATTAAACCATTATCAGTCTACACTAAAAGACTATCAAAATATAAAAATTATGATTATCAAATATTTTGACGGCAAAGCTTGCATTGTCCATTTTAAAAAATTCTACATTGACCTTGATCAAATATTTGATCCAATACCTCCCCCCCCCCAAACTGCAGCGTGATAAGAGTTAGTACGGCCAGGGGCGGGCCAAGATTTATGCCACACCCTTCCACGACTGAGAAAAAAATATGCACTTGGCCATAAATACCACCCATCAATATAAAGAAAATAGAGCCACCCGGGGCGGACCCTCCCCCACCTTTCCACAATCCTTTACTACGCCCCTGCCCCCTCCCCCCAAACCATCCCTGCTGGACCTCTTTTGTGATCCAGTTTCTGTTTGCCGTAACCTCATTAACTCATTGCCGCCCATGTCATAGGAATGATTTTAATGTGTACATTAAGTCTTCAATTTGCAAACCTTTTACGAAGAATGAACGCCAACATATTGTACTCCACATTCCTTTCATTACTGTTTGATTTTTTTATATTAAAAAAAACTTTTCAGAAACTTGAAGCGAATTATTTATTTTAGAATAGTTTTATGCAGAACTATTGAAGCCACTGTTGGTATTAACGTACCAGTGGGAATGGACAGCAAATCGATTGCGTCATATTTTGGATACTACCATTGCTATACTCTCGGGATGACTCCATTCTGCAGCCTGCCGTCAATGTCCTAGTCATGTGATTTTAAAATTCATTGTAACTCAAATTCATCGTAGTGAATGTACCGGTGACGAAATAGTAAATTTCATGGCTACCACATTTAGTAGCTTACACTGATTGTTCTAGTGACGTAGTTGTGCTCCTCATCAATAATTGATTATAGACACATTGTAAATGGCCATAAATGAGAAGAAAACAAAGCTTATGAAGCAGTGAATTTTTAAAATCGAAATTAAAGTTTGAATTTTCAAAAGTGATGACGCAATTAAAATTAATTTGGAATATCTTTCCAGCGTCCTAGTCAAAAGTTGTTCGTTCTATAATGTAATTATGTTCTATATTAACAATTAGCAATGTTCTATTATAGTTTTCTGTGCCATGTCAATCCTAGCAATGGAACCTAGCAATGTTCTATTATAGTTTTTCTGTGCCAAGTCAATCCTAGCAATGGAACCTAGCAATGTTCTATTATAGTTTTTCTGTGCCATGTCAATCCTAGCAATGGAACCTAGCAATGTTCTATTATAGTTTTTCTGTGCCATGTCAATCCTAGCAATGGAATCTAGCAATGTTCTATTATAGTTTTTCTGTGCCATGTCAATCCTAGCAATGGAACCTAGCAATGTTCTATTATAGTTTATCTGTTCCATGTCAATCCTAGCAATGGAATCTAGCAATGTTCTATTATTTTAATGTGTACATTAAGCCTTCAATTTGCAAACCTTTTACAAAAAATGAACGCCAACATATTGTACTCCACATTCCTTTCATTACTTTTTGATTTTTTTATTTAAAAAAAAAAAAAAAAAACTTTTCAGAAACTTGAAGCGAATTATTTATTTTAGAATAGTTTTATGCAGAACTATTGGAGCCACTGTTGGTATTAACGTACCAGTGGGAATGGACAGCAAATCGATTGCGTCATATTTTGGATAATACCATTGCTATACTCTCGGGATGACTCCATTCTGCAGCCTGCCGTCAATGTCCTAGTCATGTAATTTTAAAATTCATTGTAACTCAAATTCATCGTAGTGAATGTACCGGTGACGAAATAGTTAATTTCATGGCTACCACATTTAGTAGCTTACACTGATTGTTCTAGTGACGTAGTTGTGTTCCTCATCAATAATTGATTATAGACACATTGTAAATGGCCATAAATGAGAAGAAAACAAATCTTATGAAGCAGTGAATTTTTAAAATCGAAATTATAGTTTGAATTTTCAAAAGTGATGACGCAATTAAAATTAATTTGGAATATCTTTCCAGCGTCCTAGTCAAAAGTTGTTCGTTCTATAATGTAATTATGTTCTATATTAACAATTAGCAATGTTCTATTATAGTTTTCTGTGCCATGTCAATCCTAGCAATGGAACCTAGCAATGTTCTATTATAGTTTTTCTGTGCCATGTCAATCCTAGCAATGGAACCTAGCAATGTTCTATTATAGTTTTTCTGTGCCATGTCAATCCTAGCAATGGAATCTAGCAATGTTCTATTATAGTTTTTCTGTGCCATGTCAATCCTAGCAATGGAACCTAGCAATGTTCTATTATAGTTTATC